AGACACCGGGTCAGACCCTGACACTGGTGATCAGGTCTGGGTCATGTTGGGGGGACTGGAGGTCTGGGCTCTGAGCCAGTCCAGATCTTCCAAACCAAACTCGGAGAAGCTTTTCTCTGAGGTCACGGTTAAACAGGAAGAGACAAACACAAACTGTTGATACAGAGCTGGAGGACTCTATTGTCTGAGAGTCATTGTGTGACCAGGGACCACAGACCCAGACACAGACCCAGACCCACTGGTCCGAGGTCTGAGGTCTGAGTTACATCAGTGTGACAATGAAGGGATCAGTGAAATATAAAAGCTTTGATCAAACTGTTATGTGTATGTGATTTTTACAGTGTAGTGACATAAACTGGAACCAGAGACCAGATCAGAAACCTGGACCTGGGTCACATTTCAGGACTCTACAAACTATTATCTTCATTAATGATTATGCTGCTGAATTTATTTTCATCAATCTTTTACTAAACATCAGAAAACGTCAGAAACTGTCTCACAGGCCGAGGAGACGTCTCCATCAAAGAAAAGCATCAGACGTTCAGGAGGAGAAGGACTCAGCAAACGTTTGTGTTGTTGATCAACTGATGGATGAATGGACTGATCATGGCGGAGCCTGTTACACACTGTTTCCACAGTAAAGACGACATGAGAACGATCAGAGCTGTGGCTGCTGTTGAAACACTCAGATCTCTGCTGGCACAGAGTCCGACACGAAGATCCAGAGGATTCACAGAAGAAGGTAACAACGTTAGAGAAGTGGGAAGTGTGAAAGAAGAAAAGGAAATAAAAGAGTGTGAGGGCATAACAGGAAGGTGTGTGTGTGTTTAAAGTGTGTGTTCTCAGAAATGGAAGAAGAAGCAGCCGTGTGGTGACAAGGTCAACAAACCCCATGAAACAGAGAGTCAGCAGATTACAGCAGAGGGAAGTCAAGGACACTTCAGTGTCGACAGAGAAAAGAGGAAACTCTGAGTGTGACGGTTTTCATCAGGCGTGGTTCTTACCTGCTTTTCACACCACCAGTCGTTTCAGGTCGAGGAGAAGAGCCGCACCACAAAAAGAGGAAAGAAGAAGAAGAGATAGTGTCAATAAAATTACAGCAGAGTGATTTAAATCTCAAAGAGTCTGTTCATTCACCTGGAAACACAAAACAAGTTCATTAAAGCGTTTTATTACTGGAGGTAAGAAGATATGAGATAGGGAGCAAACAGCTGATCAATCCATCAGCTGATCAACAGATAATTAATCAATAAATATGTTTTTGTCTGTTTTTCTTGCTCTGAAATTGTCATGAACTAAACATCTGGATCACTGGTCATAAACAGCTGTTTGATGCTGCAGGTTCTGTGAGGAGCATTTCTATGAGTTTATCAACCAAACGATTGACTGATTCATGGAGACAATAATCAGCAGATAATCAATAATCACTCACAGCCCTGAGAACAGATCAGAGCTGTGCAGACACGATGAACCACAAACAACACGCAGACTTTCATAAAGAAAGCAGAAGCTCTGCAGCCGAGACTTCTTCACTGCTTTAAAACAGGTCTCAGCCGAACCAGACCCCAACCAGACTGAAACCCATTTTGAACTTAAAGATGTGGCGGTGTCAAAATAAAAGTCTTCCACAAACAGGCCTTTAGACGTGAAGATCAAGAGTCATTTGTCACCAAACAAACTCTGCACAGTTTTCAGACAATTCACATCCTGTAACAGAATCAATTTATTCAGGTTTAGTTTATTTAACTTCTAATAAATATAGAAATTCAGACGGAGGCAGTGTGGATGAAGATGAAGGTTTAACACCGTCTTCCGTCGTTTTAACAGAGAAGTTTTACAGTGCAGATCAACTCCACTTCTTTATTTAAAGACCTGTGACTGGTTGACACCTGTCCATCCTGACTCACACTGCTCCACTGTTTCCACGGGGACGGACGGTGTGGAGCAGCTTTGTGTTGTTGTCGTAGTGACTGCTGTCCATTGACTTGAATGGGGCTACAGTGCAGATACATCCAGGTTTGACTGAATTCTCTTCTGGTCTGTTGCACGGACACATAAGTCGGATGGTAATTATTGTCTGGTAGCGCTTGGATCGATTTGCATTTAACCCAGATTTCAGGGACCAAAGAGGATTGTGGCGCGTCACTCCGACAGAAATGGGGACAGGAAGTCGTCTTATCGTCTTCGCTCTGTTATGAAATAAACATGTCTGCTGTTTCCCTCTGTCGTTCAGCTCAGACACAAATCACTGTCTCCACTTTTCACTTCAGCTAACGGGCCAGACGTCCAGGACAAAGGAGGATCCTGAGACGATGTGGAGACCCCACCTCACCCCACCCCACCGCTACTGACACCCCAGGGCAGGCTGTGTCCACTGGGTCACCTAGTTCTGTCCCAGAGGGGGGGCTTCTTTTCCCAGGCTCATTAGAAGTCTGGAGGAGGGACGGGGGGTGAGGGGGGGTGGGGGAGAGGGGTGAGGTCAGGCCTGGTGGGACCATTAGTTTCAGGTGAACTGGTTTACACAAGGACTGGACAGACTCCCAGTACAACACTTAGCTTTACTCCTCAGTATAGCCTGTTAGCAAAGTTTATTATGATGTTCACTGATGTGTTAGCATGAAGCTAACCTGCTATCACTGAGTGTAGCCTGTTAGCAAAGTTTATCATGATTTTACATGATGTTCACTGACATGTTAGCATGGAGCCTTCCATTAATAAACAGTAAGGTTTATCTTATCAAGTTATTAAGCATGTGCTAGGTTGTTAGCGCGTCAGCGTCAGCCAGTGTTTGCTCCTCTGTTACTGGGAGCACTGGCATCACAGTGTTTTCTGTCCAGTGTGAACAAAAACACATGAAAATGTTTTAACCTACATCTCTGACGGCGTCTGACCGGATTGGGGCGTTAGGTATCGATTGACCCGTTTCCGCCTGTTTTCCTGTCACATCATCATCATCTTCATCATCATCACTGTGGCTGAGTGAAGTGATCCAGACAAACAGGCTTCATGTGTGTCACATCGATCGCTCCCACCGACTGAAAACTGATCACACACACACTCACAGAGGAGAGGGAACCACACACACATCAATGACTTCCATTGAATCTGGTCCCTTTGAGCGAGGCACAAAGCCGGCCTTTCAAGTTCATCTGGACTGATGTAATAAAATTGACACATGGAGTCGGCTGAATTCTGGGGCGCCTGTTACCTAAACTCTCATTTCCAAAGCACTGTCACCTCCCCTCACTGCAAATGAATCAATTACAGAGCAGTATAATCCTGTTAGGGGGGAGATGAATGCATACCTCCCCGTTGGCAGGTGCTGGCAGGCTGAAGGGGCTTATTGGAGCAGGCGATATCAAAGCTGGGGGTTTTATCTGCCACATTAGAACCACTGCAAACCGGCGAGTACAAGCCGCTGTGCCTGCTCTCGCTGTCTTAGCCTACACAATGAAATACTATTCAAAATGGAGATGATAGAAACAAACATCACGCTGTGGGTCGGAGCTGCTGCTTTATTTACTCTGAATCTCTCTGGTTCCTTTAACTCTCCATCATCACCGTGTCCCTACTTCATTAACATGTGCTTTTATTTATTATTTCACACCTGTGGAAACTCACTTTCACAATAAAATTCATTATAGTTTGAAAATTAAACTTATTTTAGATCTAAAAAAACATTAATAGACTCTGAGAGTCCAGGTTTTCAGGTTGTGGAACTAGAATCATAATTCTACATTCTACATTCATTCTAGAAAAAAAGGTTCTACGTCTGTGATCCTCTACATGTCAGAACTACAGTTTTACTTTTAATGACATTTATAAAATCTACATCTACAGATTGTGTGATGGAGTCGTCTGATCTTATGTAACTCCGCCCACTTCTCTAACAGGTTATTATCATGTCAGGCGTTTCAGGTCGATGAGGTCAGAGGTGACGCACCTCCCTCCTTTTTCTTTAAATCAGCTGTTTGCGTTTGATTGTTGAAGCTAAGTGAAACTAAAAGTTTCTGTTCACTGATGTGAGTGTGACGCTTCCTGCGGCAGAGACACCAGGTGACCTTCAGGTAACCTCAGCTGAGGACGAGCAGTTAAACTGCAGGTCTGTCGTCAGGTACAACTGTTACTGTTGGAGGATACAGGGCAGCAGAGTGGGGGTGGGGGGTGTGTGTGGTGGGAACCAACAATCCACCTCATTGTTTTGGCGGTGGCGGCGCTCCTGGGCGCGCTCAGCTCCGACACATTCACAAGGTCCAATCTGTCTGGCAGCGGCGGCCGACATTCTGAAGCACCTTGTCAGATAACTGCCCCACAGAGGAGGAGCCGGGGGGCAAATAATGAACCAACAATGACAGGGGGGGAGGAAGGGGGAGGCAGAGACAACAAGATGGAAGGAGAGAAAGAGATAGTGGGAGAAACATGAGGGAAGGGGGGACAACTAAAGCCCCTGCTCCTACCCCCCCTGCCTCCCCCATTCACCCCCCACCCCCCACTGTCGGCCCCGGCTCACCCAGACCATTGTGCACCCGGGGGGGTTCAGGAGATAAATGGCCGCATGTTAACCACGTTTGACAGGCTGCACAAAAGGGGACACCTCGGGTCCCATGACGCAACCTGTACCCCCCCCCCCCCCAACATCAACATCACCCAAACACAGGAGGTGCAGGAGGACAAACCCAGAGTGGGATGGGGTTGAGTCTGCAGAACCACAGGAAGTGGATTTAAGGCAGTTAACACTTCATTGTTTCAGAATAAAAGCCTCGGTCACAGTTAAGTTTGTCATGTAGAAAGTTGTCACAGTGAAGCATCTCTCTGGGGATCTCTGATCTCACAATAAACATCTGATCCTTCATCGTCATTAACCATCAGCTGTTAGCTCGTTAGCATACTTCCCAGCATGCACTGTGTTTGGTTTATTTTCTGTCTGAACTCAAGGCTCTGAATCTGTCGTCTGAGATCATGACAACTGGTCTCTGGACTCTGGACTCTGCTCTTTGGACTCTGGTCTCTGGACTCTGCTCTTTGGCCTCTGGACTCTGGTCTCTGGACTCTGCTCTTTGGCCTCTGGACTCTGGTCTCTGGACTCTGCTCTTTGGCCTCTGGACTCTGGTCTCTGGACTCTGCTCTTTGGCCTCTGGACTCTGGTCTCTGGACTCTGCTCTTTGGCCTCTGGACTCTGGTCTCTGGACTCTGCTCTTTGGCCTCTGGACTCTGGTCTCTGGACTCTGCTCTTTGGCCTCTGGACTCTGGTCTCTGGACTCTGCTCTTTGGCCTCTGGACTCTGGTCTCTGGACTCTGCTCTTTGGCCTCTGGACTCTGGTCTCTGGACTCTGCTCTTTGGCCTCTGGACTCTGGTCTCTGGACTCTGCTCTTTGGCCTCTGGACTCTGGTCTCTGGACTCTGCTCTTTGGCCTCTGGACTCTGGTCTCTGGACTCTGCTCTTTGGCCTCTGGACTCTGGTCTCTGGACTCTGCTCTTTGGCCTCTGGACTCTGGTCTCTGGACTCTGCTCTTTGGCCTCTGGACTCTGGTCTCTGGACTCTGCTCTTTGGTCTCTGGCCTCTGGTCTCTGGTCTCTGCTCTTTGGACTCTGGTCTCTGGTCTTTGGTCTCTGCTCTTTGGTCTCTGGTCTCTGGTCTCTGGTCTTTGGACTCTGGACTCTGGTTTCTGGATTCTGGTCTCTGACTCCAGCAGACAGTCCAGGATCAGAGGCGTCTGTCAGCCTCAGCTCAGAAGATGTTTGGGGCTGGGGGGTTGGTTCTGGTTTTGGTTGGGGGGTCTAACCTTTTCACTGCTGCTTCTTTGATGGCTGACAGGACTCACAAAGGCACCTGCCCCATCCCCGAGTGCCCCCCCCCTCCCCTGACCTGACCAGCATTCCTGGCCTACAGGGGGTCCTCCCCATGGCTTCCTTTACCCCGCCCCCCCCCCCCCCCCAACCAAAGTCTGGTAATCCCACTGCAAACACGGCTGTTGCGGCTCACGAGACTTCTCACAGTTGCTCGCTCCGAGTTGACGACTGATGAAGCCCGTCGCCGTGGGAACCAACAGGGAAGAAAATCATTAAAATGCATCATGGGACTGGAGGAGTGGGAGGGGCTCTTAGAGCAGAGAGGAGGCGGAGCCGGACGTGAGCAACAAATCAGAGGATTAGTAATCAGTTTTAATCTTCATCATCGTCATCGTCATCATCATCATCATCATCATCATCTTCATCTTCGTCTGAGTCTGTGATGAAGATGAGGGTCACTGACTGAGATGATGAAGATGATGCTGTTTTTAGCCTCAGTGGTAGGTGCTCTTTAGACTCATGTCTGAATTAACGTGTCGTCAACAGTTTCATTAAAGGTCAAAGGTCAAATAAACGACTCTTCTCTGACTCAGGTCGTTGTGATGTTGGTGTTTCACAAAGTTTATGGACATAAATATTTTCACTGAACAAAATGTTGTTATGTGTATTTCAGCACTGTGGTAAAGACGAGTGAACACACACACACACACACACACACACACACCGTCACGCTCGTTTCTCTGGATGAAAGACGTCGACCTCCAGCTGTCACCACAACAATGAGACGCTCTCAAAGAGAAGGAGTGACATCACCAAGGCCCCGCCCAGCCCACCTTCCCTGCCCCCTGACATTAACCAATCAGTCCTGTTTGGGGGGTTGGAATCATTCCTGCGGTGGTTGATTTTAAGATCTCAGGTCATGTGATCATCGTCCAGAAAATGGATAATGATGAGAACTGTAAAGACTCAAGACTTCCACATGTTTCTCAGTCTTTTTCAACTTAATATAAATAAATAAGTCTGAGTTTAATAAACTTCATCTTTAAGATTTATTACATTATATTTTTAATCATTTAGAATTTTCAGTGTTTTTACTTTAATGTCATTTTATTTATTTATTTATTTATTTTCATTTTTAAGTTTATTACATATTCATACATATTTAGATTTTTAATGATAATAATTCATATTTTTCTAATTTCATTTTATTTGTATTCATATTCTTATTTGTTAATTACAATTTTATTTTGAGAAAAATATTCTTAAGTCAAGAGTCACTTACTTAGCTTTTCCCCATGGCCCTCTTCCCCAGAGAAGAAAAGTGTGCTCCAAGTGAACCTGCAGATATTTATTGATATTTACAGTGTTACTGTTTATTGATATAACCCCTCCTGACCCCCCACCCTCAGATCATGAGTCTTCCTCTCCAGTGAACCTGGGTCAGTGTTTTCTGACGGCTCTACACTCGCTCGTGGTTCAGGACTCGTCAGCGTCGTCTCTGAAGCTGGCGATGATGCGTTGGTGGTAGCTGCGGCTCTGGACTCACCGAGGCTGCGGAGGTGGAGAAGTTTCCTTCAGACCGGACTCTAAGGAGCGGCTTTGACAGGAGTGTCAGCTCAGATACCTCAGACCAGAGGTCAGTCCAGCAGGACTCCCCCCGAGGCGACCAGCCTCACCGAGCAGCGCTCCTCTGCCTCATCACTTTAATTGGTGGATCTGTGACCAGGAAGTGGTGTCCGCTCATGGCGGCCTGAAACCCTGCTGAACTGATCTGGCCTGAGGAGGTTGTCATGAGAGTCCGAGAGGAGGAAGGTGAAAGAATTTGAAACTGTTCACAAGACACAAACTCTGACAGACAGAGAGGAAGTTAGACTGAGACCACTTCAGACCTGGTTCAGACCCGGTTAAGTCCCGGTTCAGACCCGGTTCAGACCAGGTTTTTGTCTGGAAAAAGAAAATGGATCGAAGTGACCCAGTTTCTTTATTACATGACAACATCGTTCATCTTGAATCTTTGTTTGATGATGAAGATGATGATGATGAAGATGAACTTCATCTCCTTGTTGACACGTTTTAGAAACGTCAACAACCTCAAGTGACTCTCAGAAACCACTGAATACCCATGATCCTTTTCACCACGTCCTCATTTACCTGTTACTAAGAGACACAGCTGCTGAAACTGAAAGCTCAGATGTCTGAGCCTCCTTGAATGCAACATCAGGTCGCTCACACCTGCTCCACACCTGTACCTGTGCACTGCTGCCATGAGATGTTCAGTGTTCACCGGGAAACAAAGTCTTCATGACAACAGGCAGCAACAAAACCAGATCAAACTGACTTCAAACAGATGCACAGGGGTGGGCGGGCCTGCAGCCGTGGACAGAGGTGTGTGTGTGTGTGTGTGTGTGTGTGTGTGTGTGTGTGTGTGTGTGTGTGTGTGTGTGTGTGGGGGGGGTTCCGGGAGGGTTGACTCATTCGGCCATACGCTGGCGGTCTGGACACACAGATGTCATGACACCTTAATCCAGCCATCCGTTATTGATTGTTCCATGTGTGGTGACCTTGCCGCAGGAGCTCGGCCAATCAAACGAACCGTTTCTGTGAGGGAGGGGCCAAAGAGAACAAGTGTGACAGTAGAAACTCTCAGTGAACCTGAACAGGTCTACTCTTCTGATGGACCCGGTTCTGTACTAACGTCAGGTGAACAACTGAACACATCACAAAGACAATCCTGACAAACTAACTGCTTTCATTCAGTTTTTAACTCACTGAACGTCTTAGGTCCAATCGAACCTGAATGCATCATGGACTGAAAACACAACAAATAATAATTATTTTATATCTTCATACGAATAAAGTGAAATTAATAATTAATAATCAGACATCTGATGCTTTTTAACTTTTTTAGGTCACAGCTGGAAACTCATCTGTTTCTACTTGTATTCATTCATCAGTATAGTTGTAGTTGTAGTAACAGTGCCCCCCCACCCCCTGTTGTCTCTGCAGTGACGTACCTCAGCTCTGACCTTGATGAATCTCTGTGTTTAGGCTAACGGCGACAAAATGTCACCGGGCGGCTCAGAGCTCACTCATGAAGAAAATGTGCACATGGCACCATGGGGGGGGGGGGTCGACAATACACGCATGTCAGTCACCTTGAAACATCACAAACACTAGAGGAGTTTTACACCAACACCATTCCACTGCACAGAAGCATCATGGGAGGCGTAGGAGACGTCTGAGGAGTTTTTGTTGTTGGTGGCACAGAGACGAGCTTTGTGTCAGCAGAAGAGACCGAGGAAGAGGAAGGAAAAGAAGACGAAGAATAAGAAGAGCAAAAAGAAGACGAGAACAAGGAAGAGGAAGGAGAAGAAAAAGAAGAGGGAGGAAAAGAAGAAGAAGAGCAAGAAGAGCAAGAAGAAGAGAACAAGGAAGAGGAAGGAGAAGAAGATGACGAAGAAGAAGAGTGTGGCCCCCCTCCCTCAGTGACAGATGTTAGAGGAGGAGTAAATCTGTGGAGGAGGCTGACAGACTGGTTGGGGGGGCCTGTTATGACTTAATGAGCAAGCGTACTGGGGGGGTCAGGTTTTGGGGGGGGTCTGTAGATGTAAACAGAAGTAAGTGTTGAGCTCATTACAAACAACTTGAAACTGAAGAATCTGAAGATTCAATATGAAAAATATTAAAATTCAAAAACAAGAATCAGAATGAAGGAAAAATCTCAAAATGTCAAGAAAATAAAAAAAGAAACAAGCTGGAATCAATAAAAAAAAAAGGAAATACAAACATCCTCATTACGTCGGAACCAGAGAAGAAGAAGAAGAATCAGAAACGACGAGAAAATAAATAAATAAAAACATCAAGAGAAAAATTTATAAAAAGTCAAAAACATTAAACGATAAATCTGGAACGACATTTACTCATAATACTTATACGTGACTGTGATGTCACCATCACATTATGTGTGTTTTATTTTGGAGGGGTGGAGTGGTGGTGGGGGTATTAACCAGACCACTTCCTGTTGTTAAGATAATATGTCTGAACAAAGGGCCCCTTCTTCCGAGAGTGGGGCCCCGGCTCCTCCTCCACTGTCCAACCAGAGGTGTTTGGTGAAGTAAATCTGCCTAAATCCTGGGGGGCGAGTGAGGAGGAGGGAGGGGGGTGAAGGTGAATAAAGATAATCTGCTTTTCTTCACAATAAAACGTCTCTGAGAGGAGGAGGAGGGAAATTAGGAATTCATATCACATGGTGCATTTTCTACTTGATTCCTGACCTGTTCCCGAGCAGCTGAGTTCAACACAAAGCTGCAGCAGTAAGGGGCCTGGGGGCCCTTGGGGGCCACCGAGGGCCCCCTACAGGCCCAACATGGAACAATGCTATGTGGAAGCTGGTTTTACTTTTACACTGAAAACATAGAAAGAACTTTTATTTTTGACGTCAACTAACAGGAAAATTCTCAAAACCACTCAGAAAAATGTAGAAACCAGCTGATTGATGAAACCAGAAAACAGTGAATCTCAAAAATCATCATATTATAGAAATGATCTGGAAACAACAAGAAATCTGTGAAACCATGAAAGAAAACTAACTAGAAAAACTCAAGAAAACGGAAACTTGTAAAATCCAGAAAACGGAAAAATAAAATTCCTGAAATCAGGAAACACCTGATTCATTAAAAAATAATGTCTCACTTCTATCAACAGTTATTCTGGAAATGACAAGAAATCTGTGAAACCATGAGAGAAAACAAACTAAAATCTCAAGAAAACGGAAAAAAAAAATCCTGAAACCAGAAAACAAACAAAAACCAGCTGATTCAACCAAGAAAATGAACTCTCACTTCTTCTTTCAACGATTATTCTGGAAACCACAAGAAATCTGTGGAACCACAAGAGAAAACAAACTGAAATCCAGAAAACGCAAAAATAAAATTCCTGAAAATGGAGAACAAACAAAGAAAAAAATTACGAAACTGTGAGAGTGAAAATAACAGAAAAAAATCCTACAGAAAGATCTCATGGTGTAAAAATAAAAAATGTGAAACCATTGACCTGAATTAAGGATCAGGGTAAGACACCTCCCTGAATGAGGAGGATTGACAGAAAACCAAGGA